ATTCCTCAGGTGATGGGCATCTTGGTTGTTTCCAAGATTTGGCTATCACAAATTGTGCTGCTATAAACATAGGCACACATATATCACTATGATACGATGTTTTCAGATCATCTGGGAAAATTCCCAGTAGAGGAATAGCTGGTTTAAGTGGGATTTCCAGTCCAAGTTTTCTAAGGAGTTTCCACACTGATTTTCATAACAATTGCACCAGTCTACATTCCCACCAGCAGTGGAGAAGTGTTCCTTTTCCCCCACAGCCTCTCCAACATTTGTTGTTGGTTGATACTGTTCTTATTTAAATTCTTACCAAAAGCTTCTTTTCCCCCACATCGTCAATAGCATTTGTTATTTTTTTGTGTAGCTGTTCTGACTAGGTTAAGATGGAATCTCAGTGAAATTTCAATTTGTAGTCCCCTGATGACTTAAGAGGTTGAACTTGTTTTTTTCATATAATTATTATCAATTTGCTCTTCTTTTGAGAAATGTATGTTTATGTCTTTCTGTCCATTTATAGACTGCATTTCTTGTTCTTTTGTTGTTAAATTTCTTGAGTTCTTCATATAGTCTGGATCTGAATGTTCTATTAAGCGAATAGCTGGCAAAAAAACATACTTTCCACTCCTAGCTTGGAATGCATAAGGGAATCAAGCGACCATAAGGAGAAGTGGAACATTTTCTAGGTTCTTCTTAACCTAGGTATGCCTTTAAATTTTACAATATGTCCTTCCATTAGTTCAAATATTGAAAGCTCCATTTTAAGAGAAGAGGAATAAAAATTATAGTGTCTACCAGAGAACATAATGGTCACCCATATTCAATATCACTTAGGGTGACTAGTTATTTTTCTTTATCATGCAAAATAAATTTCTTCCATTTAGTATCTCTTTCCAAAGTAGATGTAGATTTTGAGGTCCAATGAGATGGTTTTTCCCTTAGGCTTTTCTGATCATTCAAGCTGTGACCATTGGCTACAACAATATAAAGGAGGTTTTACCAGCAAACTTTGAACCCAGCTTGAACTCTAAAGTAGGAAGAAGTCAGTTACATGCTAACACAGAGTATGCAAACTATTTCACACTGACTGCTCATGTTTAAGGATCAGCTAATTTAAAAATTATCATGTTAACAGATGAAAGAGAAAAGCAAATGGTAAGAATGAACTAGATCTCTCTCTTTCACCAAATAGCTATATAACTAATAGTTTATTAATGCTTTCCCAAACACAGTCTTAGTACAAATCATCACAAAATAAAATATTTTTCTTTCCATCATTCAGCTGAAGGATATACCGTGGACAAAGAGAATATGGAATATGTTGCAGCCAGTTTCAATACAGGAGTCTTGGATTTTTCCTCCTTGAGCCATTTCGTGATTTGTAGTGCTGAGGTCAGATGGGCTCAAGAGAAATCCAATCAATCTCAATAATGTTGAGGTTTGACTTTGGAGACTCTGGGCTGGACAGCAGGAAGTCTACCTTCCAGTTATCTTCCTATATATATTATGGCTTCTGAAGGAAAATAGTTTCAGGAGAAAGATTACCCCTTCTTCCTCTGGGAACAGCACACACTGGAATAAGCTCTGTGTCTAGTAAGCCCTGATATAATTTATATTTTTTTCTGCAGTGATCTCTGAGCCTGGAAGAATATCTTCTTTCTATCCTAGCTGTCTAGAATCCACCTTTGTTTTATGAGCTATCTATTTTTATAATGAGATGAAAAGGAGATGGCTGACCAAAAAGATGACAAAGGGAAGATAATTACTTGTTGGTTGGTCTGTGAGATCAGATTCATTTTTTAAAAACTCTGTCTCTCTCACTTATCACACCTATGATAATGTAGAATTTGGCAAATGTGAACCTGTTAATATTTTTTGACTTCATTATTTCATACCAACTCATTGTCATTTTTTCCCCTCTAGTGCGTAAAATTCATGTTTTTTTTTTTCAGTCATCTCCTCTTCATTGCATTGTAATAAGGAGAGGCATAATAGCAAGGATAAGTAAGGGCACAGAGAAATTGGGGCCTGAACACACTGCTGTTGGAAATGTGAAATGGTGCAGCTGCTTTGAAAATAGTTTGACAAGTCCTCATAAAGTTGAACTAAGAGTTATAGTGCATGACCCAGCAGTTCCACTCCTGGTGCATACCTAAGAAAATAGAAAGCATACCTTCACATAAAAACTGCTACATAAACACTCATAATAGTTTTATTCACAGTAGCCAGAAAGTAATAGAAAGTAATAGAGAAACACAATGTGGTATGGGGGTATTATTTAATCATTAAAGCAATGATGTTCTGATGAACACCATAACATGGATGAGGCTTGAAAATATGCTAAGTGAAAGAAGCCTGATACAAAAGGTCTCATAGCATATGAGTCCATTTCTATGAAATGTCCTGAATAGGCAAATCCATAGATACATGAAGTACAATAGTGGTTGCCTGAGGTTGGGGAGAGGAAGAAACTGAAATAATTGCTAATGGGGATGAAGTTTCCTTTCAAGGCAATGAAAAAGTTTTAGAATCAGATAGAAAAGATGCATTCACAAGTTTGTGAATATACTAAATAAAAATCACTGAATTTTACACACTAAAGGGGTTAACTTTATGGTCCCTGAATTATATTGCAATGAAGTTGTTACCAAACTAAAAGGAAAGAAAAACAATAAAGAAAAGAAGAGGAAAAAACCCCCAAGATTATGACTACTTTACCCTCTGCCCTATCCCAATCAAGACCAATTCAATCAGAAGTTTTAGGAGTGGGAGGAACTAGACATTGTTTTCCTTTTAAAGTCCCTGTTACAGCTGTATTTATAGAAGATAAAGAGCTATTAAGCACATAGTTCTATGCAGCTCCCTTCTACACAAAGCAAAACAAAAAAAAAATCCCAATCTACATGAATTCAAACCCAGAGTAAGTTATAAATTTGATTTAAATTGATTCTAATCCTACTTATTTCTTCAGTCTAGATATTGCTTCAAATAATCTCATTTAAAATGCAAAAATATAGACAATTATTCATGTACCCCTAAAACAATCACAAAAAATGTTTGTATTGAAATTTGAATCAAAGACAAAAAATTGTTGCAAAAAGAAGTCTGTGATCTCTCTGGTTTTAAGGTTGACTGTCAAAGCTTATGTGATCTATTTCTTAGGTGGTATGCCTGAGTTGGGGTTTAGTTCTGGTTTTGCATACCATTTGCTCCATGACATTTAGATGAACTGCCAATATTTCAAGACCTCATATGGTCATTTAGTAAAATAAAATAAAATAAAAGAATAGGAAAGAAAAGGAAAGAAAAGAAATATATGTCATGTGCCAGCAATAGAGATATGGTAAGAAACTGTCAATATATTCTCTTCTTTATTGGAGTTGGCAACATAGCTTCAGTTTCATTACCTATACAGGGAGCGATTGAGTCAGGTGTTCTGCAGATTCCTTGATCTTTTTTAAAATACTAGTTTTGTTTTTTAACACAAGTTCTCTGGGTGTATGCCAGGCTGACCTGGAATTTGAGGTCCTCGCCTCAGCCTCCTGAGTGCTGGCATTATAGACATGTGTCACTACTCCTGGCTTCTTTGATCCTTTGTTTAGGTAGTTTAAAGGCAGAAAATGGCAGAGAGAGAACTCTCATGGTTCCATTCTCTGTGATTTAAGAGAATGAGTTTGTAAATTTATTGAGGAAGCTGTTCCTGAATTAACTATAGAAGAGAAATTGTAGCAAATACTTTGGTTTAATATATTTTTCTCTCTTTTTACATACTCTTAGAATGGCCAAGACACAAAGTCAAAGTGTTTCAAAAATTTTTAATTCCTTCAGAAACTTAAAAAAACCTGCTTCACAACTTAAAAATGAATTTTTTTGTACATCTGGGTCAGACTTTAAAATTGCTTCCAAATACCTCACTTAATCAGGAAATCTGTCCAATGAATGATCAACATCTTAGGAATCTCAGTACAGCTTCAAAACTTCTGAGCGCACAATTGTGGTGCACTCACATTTTTACCTTCAGTTGAAAATATGTTCTATTGGTCCATTCAAAGAAAGATGAAAATATTATAATAAAGAAAGCATTTTTGGAGGTCATGACTTTATTTGGTTCATGATTATATCTTGATTTGGTTCATGACTACATCTTGATTTCAGGAAAAAAGAAAAGATTTCTTACCATCCTGTTCTAATGCCTTTTCTCCCCAGAAAACAAGATTTTGGTGAAGCAGTCGCCCATGCTTGTGGTGTATGACAACGAGGTCAACCTTAGCTGCAAGTATACATACAACCTCTCTTCAAAGGAGATCCGCGCATCCCTGTACAAAGGCGTGGATAGCGCTGTGGAAGTCTGTGTTGTGAATGGGAATTTTTCCCATCCACTTCAATTTCACTCTAATACAGGATTCGACTGTGATGGGAATTTGGACAATGAGACAGTAACTTTCTACCTCCGGAATTTGTTTGTGAACCAAACAGATATTTACTTCTGCAAAATTGAGGTCATGTATCCTCCTCCTTACCTAGATGAGAAGAGCAACGGAACCATTATCCATGTGATAGGTAACATGCAACTTTACCTTAATACTATGCCCAGGTCACGTTTTCAGCAACTGTCCTAAAAATTAGGACAGGACCACAGCGAAGCTGCAGGGTCCCAAGGGTTCCACACTGATAAAGGCCCATCAAATCATGATATAAAAAATGTTTTCATTTACTTTAGAGATAATGCAAAGTAAAGCATTCAAAGTTATATATATATATATATATATATATATATAATTTGTGTTTTTTATTGTTGTGCTTGGGATTGAACTCAGGGCTTTTGCACTGAGCTACATTTCTAGTTTTTAAAAAATGTTTTGAGACAGGGTCTCATTAAGTTGCTAAATTGCCCAGGCTGGGTGTGAACTTATGATCCTCCTCTTTCATCTTCCCAGGGTGCTGGGATTACAGGCACTACCATGCCTGCCTTCAATGTTATATTTTGAGCATCTTTATCCCCCTCATTGACATCCAGTGGGAGAGAAAGAATGAGTTATAGTCTACAGCAAGAGATCACAGAAAGTTGTTCTTAATTCACGTGGGTCATGGCAGAAAAATGTTTGCTTTAAAATGCAAGCCCAGGTGCACTTCAAAAAGCATCTGGGTCTAATGGATTGGGACTCAGGAAGAATGAGTCATATTTCAAATGAATTCTCTTTTTATGCTCCAAGCTTTCCTCTGTTATGTACCTTTCCATTTCCTGAAACATACTAAGGATGCTGGACAAAAGCCTGAGATATGAAATTTGCTATTAAACAATCTTAGATAAGTTGCTCAACTTTGTTATGGTACCAAACTCAATATTATGAAGCAGTATTCTTGAGTGATTGGAATTGATGTTGCGATTATGCTGTCTTGAAACATTGAGGAGAAAAATAGCCTAAGATTCCCAAACTCAGAAGAATATAGCTTTATGGGTCAACACTTACAAATGAGAGAGGTCAGCTAGATTTTCTGATATACTTTGTGGATATGCTGCAGCTTTTCTGTATAATGATAAATAAAATCTATGATTAATTTTACATTTAATACTAGCACAATTTCAATTTAAGTTTTTCTCCAATGCAGAACAGAGCTGTTTTGAAAAAAAAAACCAACCCAAACCTGAACACTAAGTAATATGACATAGAGGCAATTAATGAAATAATATTTTGCTTGTCTGGTCCTATGCAGACTTCTAATATCTATAATATCCAAGCAGAATATTTTGCTTAAAGTCCAAGCCTAAAAAAATATAATTTTGGAAGCTCAGAGTAAAATATTTTTTTCCATATAAATAACATAATACTTTAGGGTAGTATTTTATAATGTATACACATATACACAATATATCATCTATATTATAACTGGGAAGAATACCAGTGATCCTGAATTCAGTAATTTCCTGTTCTTTTTTGATATTATAAAAAATGGACAGGCTTAAGAAAAAACTGATGGTTGGGCCTAACCTTGACATTTTGTGTATTGTTGTGGAAGATGCACTAGATAATGTTATATTTTCAGATTTCCTTAGATAATTTTAATGGATCTTCAGGACTAAAAATTAATGAACTAGATTTTTTTCGGTATTCTTTTTAGTTGTAGTTTTCTTTAATTTTTAGCATAGGACTCTCAGGTTTCTTCTCATCCCCTTTCTGCTACCCAAAGACATAAAAAGGCTTGCCTATCATCATACAACCCAATAGACAGAATTGGAGCTAGACATTTATCTTCTGATTACTAGCCCAGTGCTCTCACTGTCATACTACCTGGATGATCTTCTTAATGCTTAAAACATGTACATCATTTAACTCATTTCAAAGATGTAGTTTAGGGTCTCCTGATAAGGGGAAGAGAGTGGTTTTGGGTTAAGGCCATTGGAAATTACTATTTTAAACACAGTATGTTCAAAATGGTCAGGGGAATGCACTCCTAGGGGTGTACCATGCTGCAGCAATGATTCTCAACAGCTCAGCATCAGTGGTAGGGCTGGATATATCTCTAAGAACAAGTCCATAAACTGTAAACTAATAATATTGTGAATATTTTTATTTCCTTCCCATTATTCTCTGGTGTTCAAAAGGAGAATGTACATAACTGTCTTTTTCTTACCATTTAATCCACTCCTTTCTGTTTTTCAGAGAAGCACCATCCACATCGCTGTGCTCTCCTGTGGCCTGAGTCTAAGTCCTTTTGGACAATGATAGTGGTTGGAGGAGTCCTGGCTTTCTATAGTGTGGTAGTAACAGTGGCCTTTTATTTATATTGGGTAAGAGAAACAGCACTCTCTTGTATGCCTTTTCCAGTGCGCATGCAATCTGAACACATCAAGAACTTTGCCTATGTGGTTTGTTGTCTGTTTAACATGTGATTATTATCGTTTAATTTTCCCTGCCAGATTTGAGTAGGCTCTCTTTTAGTCTGTTCAGCTTTATCTGAAGCAATAACCTGATATGAGTTCTACTTAAAAAAAACCAAACTGAATAAGTAGTCAGGCAAAGTAAGAGGCTGAGTGGTCAAATTAGGATGGAGACATTAGAGATGGTTACCTTGATTTTCTCCTCTTTCAACATAATTATGGCACATAAACAACTTCAGTGCATGCAAAGGCATACAAATTTAGGCAACTCAGGAAGCTAGGCAACTGAAAACTATGAACAACTTTGATTCAGGGCTAAAACCATGAGAAACTTGAGTACTGAAATTGTATATTCAAACCTAGAAGAAACTAGTCCTACTTTTTTTTTCTCGGTCCTGTTTTTTCTCTCTAAGGCAGCTGGACTGTGTGAGGCCACCGAGGGTGGTGTCATTATGAAACTATAATAGGAGTTAGACTTTTCAGCAATCTTACTACTGAGTTTGAGTTTATCAACTTTTATGAGTGCTCATGCAATTAATTTGGTGTAATTTTCTTTCCTTTCCTTAATGTTGAGCTTTTGAATCATGTTTGAACACATTCTGGTAAACATACATACCATTAAGAAAGGACCTCATTAGTAAGAGTCTTTTCCTTAGAATTTTTTTGTTACTGTACACAGCATGATATAGAATACTTTACACATTACTTCCATATTGTCTTTGAATTGTTTCTAGAAGTTAAGTGCCCATGAGTAATTTCTTCAATGAGAAATGTTTGCCTCTCAAGGAAAAGGGCTATTTCTGTTGTTATTCTCAAACCACTTAGTGTTAAGTATGTTTAGTGCTTAATGAACGTTTATTAGATTAATAAATGGATAACCCTCATACAAGTCAAATTAAGGACTTAAATAAGTCTGCCTGCAGTATGACCCACTTTTTTTTTGTACCAGAGATTTCACTCAGGACCTTATGCTAACCAAGCAGTTGCTTATGCCACTGACCTATCTCCCTGGCCTGCCTGAAGTATGATACTTGTCATTAAGGCAGAACCCTTACATTTAACTGAGCCATAGATGGTCAGTAATTCCAGGAGGCAATACCGTGTGAAGTCGTCCTATGTATCCCTTTTGCAGGGGACAGTCCTGTATCCACAGTCATGCTGTTCTATCACCCTGGCTTAGATCCATTTATATTCTTGTGGGCTTATTGCCAGAACTTGCCTTTTGGTTGTCCCATATGTTCCTTGCATTTCAGAAGACCCTGAGGGGCAGATGGACCTTTGTGGGCTGCCTGTTGCCTAATCTGTACCTTCTGCCAGCCAGGGAACAGGGTGGCTGCTTGTTCTTGGGAATTCTTTATATTAGATATCAACTTGAGAATTTATCTAGCTTGGCTTCTGAAAGTTGCTCAGTTCTGATGGAGAAAGAAGGGGTTAGGCTGAAAAGATACTGCCTAAGTTCTGCCTCTGATATTAAAAAGTTAAATACTTTGATCTTTCTGAAACTTGGGGTCTTTGTTTCAGGTACCTTCCTGCTTTTCTATTCTGTGCTGGTTGCCAGTGATTTTATATTTTTTTTTTCAGTACTAGATGTCAAACCAAGGGGTGCTCTGTCACTGAAATACACCTACGCCCTTTTTATTTGGAGACATTTTGCCAAGTGGCCCAGAAAGACTTGAACTTTCAGGCCTTCTACCTTCAGTTAGTGTTGGGATTACAGGCATGTCACTGAACCCAGCTGAATGTTTGGAATTTTTAGTTCTTATTTTTCATAATTGCTGTTTCTTTTTTTGCTTTAACACCTGCTATGTGACTTTCTCACCTTCTTATGGGGAATCTTAACTTCGTAACTTAAAAGTCAGATGCAATGGCCCTTTGAGAAAATTTCTAGGAAAGGTGCACCTCTGTTGTGCTGACTTAGGTCAAATTAATTTCTCAGCATTGCAAGAACTAGTTTTGGAAACTGCTACAATTTTCAGTGGCCAAAAGGTACTGCTCATCATCTAAAACTTACTGTAAATATGAATTAGAATGTCAGTTGCTAAAATGAGGCACTAATTTGCTGAACAACTGGAATCACCCAAAGGAAGAAAAGCAACTTCTCATTTCTGTTCAAACACATCATAGACACTGTTATTTTTCTTTGGTAGCACTACTAATTAATGTTAAATTAATCTCAGTTTGTCTTAATAGAACATATTTTAGTCTATCTCATAAGCTTCCTGTGATTGAGTAATATCAGTGTGTGGCAGGTCTTGTCGTCTGAGAGCTTTTGTGGTCAGTCATCTACCAAGAAGACCCTTCATTTTCTTTGGAAATTTGGGTCTTTGTAGTCTCTGATCAAAGTATGTAAATAGAAATATATCTGCATTTCATAAATTAGCATATCAGTTTTGTCTGAAATCATCTTTTCTTGCTGTATCTTATCCTGTCTAAATAGCGAGTCCCTTAATGAGTTAGGTTTGTAGGCCAGTAGACATTCCCAGAATTTAGCCCTTGCCTGGGTAATTTTCTGGGTTCTTATTTTTGGCTGGTCTTTATTTGACTTGGTGTAAATTCCAATTTTCTGGAACTTCTGATGGCTTGGGATATGCTACTCTAGGCAGTAACTAGGCTGGGTGGGTTTCCGGGAGCAGCTGCAGATTCTATCTCTATTCTTGACCTGATGATGACATTTGAGTAAATAAAAAGCTTCTCTTAGTCAGGCTGCCATAGACCAGCACCTGTTATTCTCCATCAGCATTCTGTACATTCAGTTGAGCTAATAAACACTTTCTCTATAGTAGTCTAAAGGTACCTTAAAAAAAATCCTATATTCTTTATCTCTGTAGACTGCAACATAGGGAAAGCAGATACTGTGTGTAAAGGTAGAATATGTATTTTAAGATATTTTGATTTAATATTTGAAGACTATTCCTCTCAGTTGATTACTTTATATATGCCTTGCATGCTGATGCAGCTCCTAGGAAACAAATGGATAAGGAAGAAGTGAAAGGAAAGGCAAAAGTCATGCCATCACTATTCTTGACTGCTGAGGGCGTGGAATAGGTGATATAGACACATGGACACATAGGGTATTTATGCTGTACATGTGCATATGCTCGATGCACATAGACATTGGGGGTATTGGTTAGTATTTTCATCATGCATGTGTCATTTTCAGCTTGCTGTTGTGGCTAGAGTCAGAGTGAAGCTAACTGAATCTACCATCTGATAACAGTGTGAGGGTAATAATAGGATCTGGCTGCAGTGGATCTTTTATTACCTTTATATGTGACCTGGAATATCCCAGAGTCAAAACATCTGTATTAGTGGGACCTCTCTACCAGATATAGTCTAGTTGGACCAAATACTTAAACTCGGGGATTTGGCAAAGAGATACCTGAGTATTGAAGTACTAAACAAATGCTTTCTAAGGTTTTGCCTTCTACGCTTCTTTGGGGGCAGACATTTCTTTGGTTTTACCACTGCCACGCTAAACCCTATGCCCAAGGAGTTCTAGTCTTTTATGTATATAAAGAATGCAGAACCAAGGTAACTAAAAAGAAATGTCACCCATATTCTTGGTTTTCATGAATATCTTAATCTGAATGACTTTCCCAATTATGTGTGTATAATGCTATCCTTTCTTTTTACTCAAAGTGGATAATCCATCCAGCATCTCAAAACTTAAGTGACTGAGGATAAATTTATAGTCTTTGAAATCTATTCTTACCATTTTGCTTTACATCTGTGGGTAGAATATCATCCTTCTAGTTGTCTAGGTTCAAATCATCAGTTTGGATTTGGACAAGAAGGGTTAGTCAATATTAATTTCATGCTATATTCTGTATCAGTTCCTTTCTTTTCATCCAGTTGCTTTTCATGATTAGACTTTCTAGCTCAGGATTTTCCATTATTGGCACTATTGACATTTGCCCTTGCTAGTTTGATGTAGTACAGGTGGTCTTGTGGGCAGGAGAATGTTTAACAGCATGGCTCTACTCACTAGATGACAGTAGTGTCCCTTTCTGTTGTGACAACCAAAAAAAAGTCTTCAAACTTTGCCAGATGTTCCCTAGGACAGAGCTGGTAATGGAATTCAAGATGTCAAAATGAGTCTTACAAGGTTGTCTTGGGAAACTGTATGCAGTATAGTTTCATTAACTGTGTTGACAAGCACTGAGAGAGAAGCAGATTCCCAGGGAAAGACCTTGAGTTTCATTTTGGACATATTGAGAATCAAATATTCTTGAGATCTAGCTTAGAGGAACAGGTGTCAATTGAAGGTGAGATTATGGATCAGAAGAGAAAATAGAATGGAGAAGAAGGCCAAGGACCAAGCTGTGAGAAATTTTAACCTTAAATGGCTAAAGAAGGATGATCCTGAAAATGATGGTAGTGACCAGAAACAGGATAAAAACTGGGATGTTTCAGAAGACAAAGAGGAGCGATGTTGCAGAAGGAGGGAGTAACTGATAGCACAGTCCCCCAAGTACCATTTGGCATTTTTTCTGGGACTCCCTCATATATGTCAAAACCTGTGAATGCTTGGGTTCCTTATATAAAGTGGTTTAATATTTACACTTACTTCACATCATCTCTAGATTACTTCTAATACCTTAATATGATGTATATTTTATGTAAATAGTTGTTGCATTGTTTAAGGAGCAATGATTTAAAACAATTTTTTTGGGGGAAATGTTTTCCATCTGTGTTATGTTGACTCCATAGATGAAGACCTGGGGATATGGAGGGTTTCCAACTGTGTAGATTGCTGCTGAGAATTCAAGGAGATAAAAACTGAAAACATTGCTTGCATTTAGTAACATGGAGATCCATGTTTTTAAATCTCTTTTGAGGACATTTAATCAGGCTCCTTTGACAAGTGGAGAAGGGTTCTTGTAGTAGTGAATGGAAATGAGACCAGGACGGAAGTCATTCACTTACTGGTTTCTTCAGGGATTTTCATCATGTGTACCCATGGATTTACTTATTCATCTGCATCAGGCCTGTGTGTCAGAAAATAAGCGCCTTTTTCCATATGAGGGAATTCTGAATCAAGAAATCCAGATGGCTATTTTTAAAATTTTTATGTCTGTTGTCAAATGTGTGAGTTTGCCATCACATTATTCCAGAAATGATGCTCCTAGCTCCAGGCAAAACCTTTGCCAAGATTTATGGGAAATGTAGCATCAGGGTTGCTCCCAGTTCCCTTTCACTGGTAGAAATTCATCCTGAGGGTGGGGTGTGGGATGGAGATATATGACATTATTTTCTTCATGGAATTACATTGACATAAGGGATAAGAACAAAACTAGTTGTTCAGAATTGTAATTCTCACTGATTTGGATTCCACTGTTATGCATTTATGATTATTCCAGACTCTGGAGAAATTGAATGTCCTTTTCGGTCAACCATGGGAAAATGTCTTGTTAAACAATGTCAGATTATATTGACCAACATAAGATTACAAGGGGAATGCTTAATATCCCCATGTATTGCACTATCAATAGTGAATATGTTATGCTTTTGGAATTCAGATCAAATGACAGCATTGAGAGTTGCATGGGTATGTTTTTCTAACACATTTCCTTTGAATGAGAAAATTTTCAAGTTAATTTACAAGAACCAGCAGTCAGTCATTGTTTGAGTTCAGGGTACTCAAGAAATGCCATTGTGCAGTATCATTTCACAGCTAATGTTCTGATTAGTTGTCCCCAAAGTTTTAGAGCTCCTGCCATGACATTTCCTCCATATCCGTTCACACAGACACTCCTCTTTCCTGCAGATAAAGAGCAAGAAGACCAGGCTCCTTCAGAGCGACTACATGAACATGACCCCTCGGAGGCTCGGGCCCACCCGCAGGCACTACCACCAGCCCTATGCCCCAGCGCGGGACTTTGCAGCTTATCGCTCCTGACACAGAGGCCTATCCAGAAGTCAGCTAGCCGGCACCCCTCCATCTGCTCAACATCACTGTTCTGGATAGGAAAGGATAGCCTCCTCGGCAGCCGGCCGCTGTTGGGCACTAAGGCCAACTCTTCTTGAACAGCTAAAACAGAGAGCAATGATCATCTTGAGACTCTGACATGAAGATTAAAAAAACTTCCTGTGGCGGCTAAATTTTGCAGTGCCAAATGTGAATTCCCAAATTCACATTTATCCTATATTTATTGACTTGATTGAGAAGTTAGAATAGAAAAGAAAAAAAAAATGAGTGGATTCTGTAGGCCTTGTAATCTGCTGAGCCCTGTCCCTTTCTCTCAGTCAAGCAGAGCTGATACCTAAGAACACTTGCACAGAAATCATTCCCTTTTGTTAAATGGGTGTTTGCAGTAAAGGTAGATTAGAATGAGGGAGAGTGTAGAAATACTTCAACATTTTTAAACACTGTTTCCTACATATACAATAAGCCACTTCTTTCCTAGTGAATGCCATCAGTTTTTTTTTTTCTGTCAGTTTAGGGAGATGTAGGCATTGTCTTTGAATAACTCTGGCCATATTTAATAATTTTGACCAACGGAATTCCCTCAAAGCAGACCAACTTGCTTTTTTCTCTCCTTCTGATGGGAACTTAGCATTGAAGTTCACAACATGATTTCAAAAGGATGAAATACTCCTCCTCCCACACCACAAAGAATGTGTCAGGAAATAAGGTTGCTTTATACTAAAAATAGTTGACTGCTATGAAGGGTTATTTGTTTAAGAGCTCATTCCAGTTAAACTATATCTGTTTCAGCTTTGCACGGCTGGACTCTTTATTGTCTGTGTGGAGATCTGAGGGGGAGGCTGACAGAGCATCTACAGAAGACAGATGCAGTGATGCTGTGGAAAGGGGATGTTATCATTTACTCATTCATGAGTTCCAAGAAATTTCTTCTGAAGGGAGGAGAATGAAAGGGAGTGAGGCAATTCTTACCATGTGCTAAGCAGTGGCTAGTGTTGGTGGAAATTTTCCAGAAGGTGCCAGAGAGAAAGATCCTTGGAGAGAACTTCTTTATAGGGATTTCAGGCACTCCAGGGTTCAGAGTTACAGAACTCTGTGGGCTCAGCTGCTGTGTGCTCTTGAGGTCCAGTGTTATGGAAGAATATTTTGGAGTGTGTATTTGGAGACAATTTAACACTCTCAAGCATTCAAATCTTGGTGGGACCTCACTGGATATTTTGATCAGGGATATAGCTCAGAAGAATAAGTGCCTGTCCTGAGCTCAATCCCTGGTACTGGAAAAAAAAAATTCTCAAGAGGTTCTTCAAGGCCCAGCTCTTGGAATGACCATAGATATTTCCCTGCCTCCAATTTGGGTCAAATGGAATATGCCTGGGGACTTTGGAAAATGGCTTTTTATTCACCTTTACAACCTGTTCAGTGCTTTGGTTTATCCACATGATAGAAGAGGCTGGATTTTAGAGGTAGATAACTCTAGTTCAAATCCCATTACTAGTTGAATGGCCTCATGCAGTCACTGCTTATCCAAGACTGTTTTTTCAACTCTGAAATGGAGATTATGATCACAAAGGTCTGTTCCTACACTATAGTCTCCCTAAAGGTATGACTGTCTTTTTATTACTTGTCCCTAGCATCTCATACATGTCAAACATATAATGTTAGCTCTTATTATTATTGCCATATAAAATATGTATAAAAATCAAAGGGAAAAATGACCTAAAAAGGGATGGAAATTGTAACATATACTTAAACTAGGGCTGGTGAGATAGCTCGGTAGATTAAGTGCCTGCTTAGGCAAATGCAGGGACCATTCGATCCCCAGCATCACATGCTGTGCAGGCCCCACCCCTGGGCATGCTGAGCTGACCACCAAGACCCAGAATGGTGGGACACACCTATAATCCCAGCACTGGGGAGGCAGAAAACAGGAGAATCACTATGAGTCCAATCTGCACAGTGAGACCTTTTACCAAACACACACACACACACACACACACACACACACACACACACACACACACATAATAATAATAAACAGAAAAAACAAATTTAGACTAAAAGTTATAAGGTGCTAATTTCCATCAGTCTTCTGTTTCTTAGACTATTTTATCTTGCAATAAAACAGTGTATTTCTCTTCTACTTTTTTATATATAAGATTTTAATTTTTTTTAATGTGGGGCAGTAGGAGACAGGGAGGAATACTTTGGTTCCAGACAAGAAATACTGTACTCTTGGTTGATTTTTAAATGGAATTCCATTTCATACATTTAATGAATTCAAGAAGGTCACATTCAGAAATACCTGGGTGAGGAAGAGCTGTGAAGTATGGACTTGCATTTGTGCTGGTGGAAGCCTCCTGGCACACAGAGTTTTTTCAGTCTGAGTCATTGAATTGTGCTTGAAAAATGACAGAGCTGGAGAAGTTTAAGAAGGCACAGTGACAAATAAATAATATTTTTAAATGGAAAGATTTGATCTTTGGTAATACATAGTTTTGTTTTTCTAACTGGAAAAGTGGGTTGACCAAAGATGAATCACACTTGAGATTTTTCTTACTCTCAACAGAGTTGAAGTAGAAATGTTACATAGGGAAGTTCATTTTTACTTTTAAAATGAACTTAGTGTAAACTAAGTTCACACTTAAAATGAAGTTAGTATGAACCAAGAAATGATGTAAAAATAGTGGCTGAAGTGATACTTTTACATTTCCAGGTATGGTAATTTCCAAGTATGATAACTGTAAAGAAAACAATGTCATTTGCTGCTATTACTGTAAAAATCTTATAATTAATAGTATTTTGAATTGTGAATTCACCTATTTGAGGCTGAGCATGCCAATTTAAAGAAACCAAATGTACATTTTGTGTATTGAGTGATAAAATTACTAGACTATCATGTGTCTGTTTTGTAAATTTGTGCTTTAATACTGTCTTTCAGGGCAGACATACATCACTTTTACAGTGAGTCTAGAGAAAGCTTGTTACTTAAAAGAGCTGTGGAATAAATTATTTTACAAGCCTGATTTAGTCTTTCTTTTATTTAAGGCCATGTTAATTTCACCTCAAGTAAGCTGCACTTCTGATTTGCTTGCTTGGCTTCAGTCAGAGTTTCTTATTAGACCAATAATTTACCTTTCTCAGCTGTCAGGCTGGGTTTACCTGTTCATTCCATATAATGTGAGGGCTCTGTGAAAGAGTTTGAACTGCAGTCTTGAATTCATCATTGTCTCAGGTTAATTAAATGAGTCATCAATGTGCCTCACTATTTTAATGGTCAAGTGGATGCCTAATCCCTTATTATAGCTTTTTCTACTGCCAGATGGGAACACAGCAGGCTTGGGGACTGGCCCTGAAGAATTAAATTCAGTTTCAAGCTTGAGGTTGGAGACTGTGCTGATGATGGATGCAGAACCAGGACCATCATTGCCATAAAGCTGCCATTAAGCCAGGCCAAAGGCATGACAATGACAATTTCAAGACCTGCTCACGCAAATCTGTGGCATTTGCAGGTCATTGGAAGATCAGCATCTGTCTCTTCTGTAGGTGTGCTTACATATAAGCGTGTTCCCATGTTGGCTCCTTTACCTATACTCTTGTGTTTGTCTGGAATGTTCTTCCCAGGTGGCTACCTCACTCCCCAACCTTCTTAGGGTCTTGGTTCAAGTGTTACTTTCTATCCTAATTAACTTTCTCCACAATTGTCTCCTTTCCTTGGTTATTTTTCTCCATAACATTTTGTCATCTCTTGTACTAGATATTTTATTATTTTTTTGTTTTTTCAAACTTGATTGTAAGCTCCACAATGGACAAACCTCCATTTGTTTTGTTCATTGCTAGAACTTCAGTGCCTAAGATAGTCCCTGGTATACAAGAAATATTCAATGAAGTTCACATGGGTTCATAAATTAATAGTCTTGGTGGTTTAATAGAGAGCTAGTATTACTTCCACTTTCTTGTTAATAAGGCTAACAAGTTATTAAAGGAACATAAGGATATATATATTATATACATATACACATATGAATATATGTATTAGAATAGTATACATAATATGTAGTATAGTATCTATAATATATAACATGTAATATAATATATTATTATATATAGTATACATATAATACACATTGCACTATATATGATATAGTATATATTATGTTATAGTACATAAAGAATATAGAGTGTATATATATCCAAATTTGGTGAAAGAAAATGTGATAGATAGAAGAGTTTTTGCATTTTAGATTTTTTTTTTCCAGAACCAGGGATTGAACTCAAGCCCTTGTGCTTGCCAGGGAAATGCTTATTCCACTGAGCCATCTCCCTGGGCTCCATTTTAGAAAATTTTTGTGTAGTGAAAAAAGCTAATACTCTAGGAATTATCCTAAAAAGTCATGTTAAATGAATCACAGCCAAAAGTTGGCTTTCCACAGAAGTCCCTAAGTTCTCTCTCAATAGATTATTATTATTATTATTTTTTAAATTATTTATTTATTTATTTATTTATTTATTTATTTTGTGTGTATGTAGCCAGCTCAGCCCACCAGGGGGCGGGGCTGGCTGGCATGTGGTGCTGGGGGATTGAACCGCGGTCTCTGTGCTTTGCTCAGCTTGTTCCAAGTAGGTGCTTTAGACCACTGAGCCATCTCACGAGCCCCTCAATAGATTATTGATGATGTTTAACACATATCTTTAGCCTAAGACTTCCAAAAATGTTTTCAGTTAAAGTATCATCCTTCTGCTGAACTGCTACTCTTGTCTGTGGTGTAATTGTACCCCAACAAATTCTATAAATTCCTTGTCTGGTTTGGATTCAAAAAGAGCTTAAAAATGGGAATGGCAAGAATAGAAAATGTTAGAATCTTTGCCTGTCATATTCCTGTCATAACTGAATGCCCTAATAGCTTGTAATAGTTTCAAAATAAGAGGACAACAAACAAATGAAACATGACATTTGAAGCAAGTTGGAAATTCAAGTCAGACTTCTTACATTAATTCTTCAACATGCACTCATACAATGCTATCATCCTGTGAGTACAGGAAGCTGTAATAGCTTGTCTGATAATTCACATAGCAACCTGTTTCTTCAGTTGCATTTATTAACAAACGCAACTAAAACTTGAAAAACATGATCTTATGTGTCTCTTACTACTGAAGAAAGACTGAGGTGGTCACTCATGGGTGGTTCAGCAGGACGAATCAAACCAGTTGGAAAGGGAACAGACAGGTTTAAAAAAGCACAAGAAAGAGATTGTATGATATAGTTCTGTAAAATGTTCTTATTCCTTGATATGCAAATTCAAAATATAATAAAACAGAAACTAAACAACTTGACCTAACAGATCTTCTACTAAGTTTTAGCTATACAACCATATGCATTGTATTATTGCCCACAACCCTCAGTTTTCTTTCTTCCTCCAGTCTGATAAAAAAAATACATTCCTTTAGGCAGCACCCCCTGTCCTCTCTTATTTTCCCTGAAATAGGGATCATGAGAGAAAAGTCAAAGAAATGTCTGGTCCTTTTGTGGTGGGGCCCTGACCACCACACTAAGCAGCAGCAAAGGGTCTGGGTACCACTATAGAGGCTTGTTGGTGCCATGGCTCTTCTAACATAAGTTTGTATCACTGTAACTGAGGAAATGGTTTGGCTCTTCAGGGATGCAGCTGAAGGGCTGGACCTCTCTATTTTCTCTGATTTAGCATCCTACCAGAGAGGTGTGCTTTTCCTTCAAAGATTCACAGGTTCCCTGCACTTAGAAATCCATGCCAAGGTCCAGAGCAGAAAAGGCACACTTTTTCAGCATGACTTTTGTTCATTTCAGGATTCTAATATTAGTCTAATGCTTGAAAATTGTGTAAGATGACATTTAGGTGATGCAAGACTATATCTTTTCCAAGCTGACCTTATTCTTGGGGACATGCTAAGGACCAAAACAGGTGTTCTGAAAGGGCCATCTTCCTATGCCTTTTCCCTGTCTAAAGTATATGCAAAGGTTTGGAATCCTGGAAATTCATGGGGATAAAAAGTTGTAGAAAGTTGTATTGCTCTTAGGGTAGGATGTATTGGATTTTACTTAGACTTTGTTGGACAGAGATCTTAGTGACAGATTTAAACTCCTTTTGTCTCCAAAGAACAAACTGAGCTGAGTGGAAATGTCAGTTGAAACAGAAGAGCAGCAAACAGTTTTGTTTTCCTATAGTTGTGGTTTTACATGGCGATGACACATGAAGACGAAAATGCGCAGCATGAACTCCAGTTGTTATCTGAGTGAGCATCTCTGCCAACACTGAAGGATATGTGTGGGTGTCACTTACGGGAGGGGGAGTGAGAGGGAGGGAGAGGGAGGGGGAGAGAGACACACACACAGAGACAGAGACACAGAGAGACAGAACCAGAGACACAGAAACAGACAGAGAGAGACAGAGACAGAAACAAAGACAGAGAGAAAGAGAACGATGGGAAAGAGAGAAAGAGAATGATGAGAGAGAGAGAGAGAATCGAGAGAGAGAGAGAGAGAGAGAGAGAGAGAGAGAGAGAGAGAGAGAATGGTGAGAGAGGGAGACGGTGGCCTCTGGAAAGACGAGCCAGTTGAAGATCAACAGTGACAATGATGTTATTTATTTCATGAACTTGACATTTAATTTCCTTCTGCTTGCTAACTTCTATGCCTCAATTGAATCTCTTCACTAAGCATACGGGCATCTCCTGACTGAACAAAAGTATGGAAAAGGTGGGGTAGAGTAAACATCAGGGTAGTTGCCTTAGTTATTTAAATTTTCTCAGTCTCTTGG